TTTTACTTTTTCCCCTAATTCTTGTTCATCTTTTCTTGTCTATCTTTCGTCCAATTTCCCTCCGGGTTCGAGGCAGAGAAGCTGTGATAGCCTGTGCATATACGATATTTTTCACTGCGTCACTGTCAACCCGTGTCCGTGTTGGCCTCGGTACGTATATGTCACTTTCAACCTGTGTCCGTGCTGGCCTCGGTACGTATATGTGTCACTTTCAACCCGTGGCCGTGCTGGCCTTTTTACGTACAAGTGTCACTACAGACAGACAGCTGCACACGGCAGACGTGCAGAGTGTGAGAGCGTCTTCCAGGACGGGAGGTGGTCCTCTGTTATTGAGAGGAAACTGTCCACGTGAGACCGTCTCAAGGAACACTTGTGTCTCGCCGACACTCACTATAACCCTCTGTCTAATTTAATTTAAAACGTCAGATATCTTCAGATAAATAATTCATAATTGTGAGCCCTTCTCACTGGGATTAAAACTATCGAACGGCCTAATATGGAGGAAAAAGGGGAACCTGTGTGGATTTTTTTTTAAGGCATATAAATTTTGTGTTATTATTTCGAGATAACGTCAATATTTGGGTGCTTAATAATTTCAATAAAACACTGGAATTTTGACGTTGTAGTTGATAGGGTTAAAAGAATTTGTATTATTTGCGAGTACAGGTTGTACAGCTGGTACAACTGGTGCAATCACAGCTGGTGCTGTGATTGGTTCTCTTGAGTCTTGAATCATTCCAGGACTATGTCTCAACAGGGCGACGAAGAACTAGATTAGCCAATTGACGCTTTAGTCAAATCAGTACTGTACTCGCTTCAACTTCCTCGTATGTTAAATTCCGGTTAATTATTAGTCTTTCCTTGGATATTTACTACAACATTAACGCACTTTCTCTGCAACTATCTATGTGAACTGTCGAAGAAGTGTTAGAGAGTAAAGGCAAGGAGGGAGTTCCTTGGTTTAAGGTGTCCCGACAGTAATTATCAATATATGTTGTTGTTAAAGATTCGCTACCTGGAACAAAAAGTTCCAAGTAACACGGGCTATGGTGAGTCCGTATATCAATATAGTGTGTGGAGCTGGGATACATTCATGTGTTATACACCCACAATATCTTATCAATTTAGTGCTATGTTGTGTGTGTGTGTGTGTGTGTGCAGGCTGCCCCAACGTCAGCTATTAATATAAAGTGTGAGGGTTACCTCCACAACAACTATCAATGTAGAGTGTGGAGGCTACCTCCACAGTAACTATCAATGTAGAGTGTGGAGGCTACCTCCACAGCAACTATCACTGTAGAGTGTGGAGGCTACCTCCACACCAACTATCAATGTAGAGTGTGGAGGCTACCTCCACACCAACTATCAATGTAGAGTGTGGAGGCTACCTCCACAGCAACTATCTATGTAGAGTGTGGAGGCTACCTCCACAGTAACTATCAATGTAGAGTGTGGAGGCTACCTCCACAGCAACTATCACTGTAGAGTGTGGAGGCTACCTCCACACCAACTATCAATGTAGAGTGTGGAGGCTACCTCCACAGCAACTATCAATGTAGAGTATGGAGGCTACCTCCACAGCAACTATCACAAGTGTCTCTTAAGTTAGCAGTAGCTCCCCTTAGGTCGTTCTCTCACGGTGGGACACGAGCCAGTTCATCCACTAGCAAGTAGGCAGTTTAAAATCCACTTCATTAAAGACAAGTACCATTTGCGACCCGAGTATTAAAAGATAAAACGTTTGCTTTGCAGACACTGGCAATTTTTGTTTCTCTTCAAACCCAGCTGGTACTTTTATGTTAACAAAGAAAACGGAATAAACGATCCGAAGCTCAACAAAATTAATTATTACGACCAATTTGGCAAAAACAAATAGAAATGGAAGATAATGAGAGCATTGTTTAATTAACAATTCCGCGTCCAGCCGGTTATTAAGAGTGATTTTACCTCATGTTGCTCATTTCCTTATTTTTCATAATGACTGGAGCGGCGCGCGTCTGCCTCGCTAATGGTTTCATGGATAAAACATTGACAATCACCATGTTTGTTTGGTCTTAATTTAGTGCGCTGGAGCCCATGTCAACACAGGCGCAGCTTCATCCAATGACAGGTTGGAAAATGCAATAGAACAAGGCTCTATGTTATTGTCTCAGGGACTTCCTTTCTGATTGCTGTACCTTCCTGGAAAATAAATGATTGGAGTTGAAGAGTGGTCGTATATTAGCTCTTGTTCAATCGCTGAGAGAGACCTGCCACCTCACACCTACTGCTCCTTTCAACATCCCCTGGTGTATATAATATCAAGCCTGCCAATAGGTGTTCACTTTCGCATTCTTGAAGACCGTGCTCCATAATATCTGAAATTGAACCTTGGTCTGGATGTTTCTAATAAGGAAAGTCTACGACAGTATCGAACTGCTGCTCAGACTCTATTTTTCAACTTTTCCTACCATGACGGAATTTGGTTGTTATTTACCCTTGAATCCTGACCTTTGTACCAGACCCTATATAACAGTATTTATGTCTTGATATATATATATATATATATATATATATATATATATATATATATATATATATATATATATATATATATATATATATATATATATATATATATATTCTATTTATTCGAGACGTTTAATTTCGTTGTCTTCTATAGTAAGAGATCTGCCATACTTCTATTTATATTAAAGGTATAATGTTTGTTAAATAGTAACAATTTTTTAGCAAAGTGCAAATCAAGTAACTTTAAAATACTTTCGTTCTACTCACGTTAATATTAGGCTTGTTGGGCTTTACAGCCAGCGACCTATGAAAGGTCCGTTGGATAAAGCGCCCGTTTTGACTTAGAAATATAGTTATTTCAATTAATAAACCTGAAACCTAAGGAAAAGAGTACAGTAAAGTAAGATTATGGCTCCCGAATTGTAAGAGAAAAAAGTGTACATGTTCAGTAGGTGTTGGTGTACATGTACAGTAGGTGTGTGTGTATATGTTCAGTAGGTGTGGGTGTACAGTACGTGTGGGTGCATAGTAGGTATGGGTGTACATGTACAGTAAGTGTTGGTGTACATGTACAGTAAGTGTTGGTGTACATGTACAGTAAGAATGGGTGTACATGGTGTGGGTGTACATGACAATGTACTGTACTGAGCTGTCCTTCCCTATTCACCTAGCAGCAAGGACAGCAGTCTCTGGCTCTTTATTGATGACTCGCTTGTCTTTGTCTTATGGTCTAGTGTTTCTGTTAACATTTGTATATTAGTAGTAAAGTCCTTCAGTTATGTTTGTTGAGAAAACATGTTCCAGATGCGAATAGCGCGAGATGTGAGAAAAACTTGATCGCGTGATAACCTTGACAAGTTACAATCATTTCGAGGAGGCAAACAGTTAACCTTCTTTTATTTCTACAACCTTCTTCCTGGTTGTCGACGGACCCTGACCATGTTGGAACCTTTGTGATAATACCCCTGGTAGTGGAAGGTTTCGTGAAATGATAGGCTGCCTCCCCTCTCGTCAACCTAAGAGATGCGTTCGAATTGGAGATGAGGTGTACAGGATTATCCAATAGTTTAGTGACTCCTGAGTATATGCTACAAGTGGCATTTCACTAAAGCAAGCTTAAAAGCTGCTTTAAGTGGCCCTTCGCTGTCCTCATTATACTCGCATTCAGATTTGGTGTGATATTAGGGGCCTATTAACATCTGGAGGATTACAGGATCTGTTGTTGCAACACAGTAATTAATAGTACCGTTCAGAACTCAATTAAACTCATTGTATATACACCGAGAAATGTGGTAAACCCCGGTGTATGTATATATGGTTGTATGTACTAATAGTTTGGAGTTGGGTTAAAGGCCAATCAACCGCTAGAGGATTATTTGAAACCACTGAAGTGCTTACTAACCAATCAACAAATATACTTTGTTCCTAAGCAGAGTCGATGATAAAAATAAACTCAGTGTATATTCACCGTGAGGTGGGGTACACCTCTCGGAATATATATCGTATATATAATTTGTTTGGTGTTGGGCTTCACCCCCATCAATCTACCAATTAGCAAGTAACTTAAATCAGGAGCATAGTCAACAACTGTAGCATTCTCAGTGAAAATGTACACGGAAAAGGGGGGTTATACTTCTTAGTGTATATATTCTATGTTGTTATGTTAATTGAAAACAGTGAAAAGATATTCAAGGTGACTAAAGACTGAAAAACAATAATTTATTAATTATATATTTTTGGCAAAAGAGCAAACTTGCCACAAAGCCGTGTGCTGGCAGGAATCGCCAAGCCGTGTAGTGGCAGGAGTCACCAAGCCATTTGGGAAAGTGTTCCCAAATTGACACCACACCATAGGTGGTGTGGTGTCGAGTGTCACCAAGCCCTGGGTGGCTGGGAGCAAAGATTACATCATTCAGGAAATTATAAACATATAATTTTATAGAAAAACCTAATTCCCAAGAAAACCATTCCATCAGGTGGGTCAACCCGGGTGCTTTACCTATTTTCTTCTTCGACTCTGACTCACTTCTTTTCCTTCCCCAGTTCGTCTCTTACTCCTTACGGGGTATTCTCTTTTTAAAGACTAAAAGCAGGGAAAACAGATGACATTACGTATAGCAAAGTGTATTATTAAAAGTACCTAAATACCAATCTATTTCATATTATACTGGATATAGTGCTAAAAGCGTGATTTTCTTCCATGGAACAATAATATTTGTTTTTACTCAGTAAATTTAAATACTATTTTCAGTAGGTTTTGTACTGTACATATAAATTAAAAAATAGAAAATTTTTAAAGTATAGTAGTTAAATAAAAAGGGCTGGTATATCATGGCTGTATTATGGCTGATACAGGCTCACTAAGTTCTCTGCACGTATTCTTACGGCAATTTGTAATCCAAAATGGATAGCACATATAATGACGGGATACATGGCTGATACAGGCTCACTAAGTTCTCTGCACGTATTCTTACGGCAATCTGTAATCCAAAATGGATAGCACATATAATGACGGGATGAAATGTACATTATATGTAAAGGTACATAAAAAAATATGTTTCGTACTATTAATTTATATGGACCCCAAGAAGGAAGCAAAAACTAAATCTAGCTTTTCTTTGGCCTTGAATGGAACATATATATACTAAATGAGGCCTAAGATTGTACATGTAAGGAGCTAGGATTGTATATTTAAGCCTAGGACAGCTTCATGGTTAGTGTGTTTAACTTTTTGTTATGTAAGCTTGAATTGCAATAGTATTCAACTCATTCCATCTATTGAAGCTAGAGGCACTATCATTTTCGGAGGATGCGTTGCATACATACACACTCACGTGCATACGCCACTAACGCATATATAGAGAGTATTTTCAGAACTTGTATTTGTAGCTATAAAAATGGCTGCTGTCGCTTGACTAAGCAGGTGTACAGCCGAAAATCTGACTAGTATTGAGACAAATGCTTGAAATACAAAATCTGACATTTTGAGACAATGGACAAGTGAGATTTGTCTCGATCATTTCCTCCAAACGCATCTTACCTCACCAAGTTCAGCATTTCGCATTTTATATACATCACCACCACATATTATAACTGCTACATATATGGTCTTTCGACCAAGTGTCAAGATAACCAAATTCATTAGAATAAAAATACATATTGGCGTAATATATTCTTGGCGACTGCCAGCTCCCCTGCTTCTTAGCTCTTTCAACAGTAAATGGCGGTAAGAAAGAACAGAAGACAGCTCTTTGTTTCTCTCAATTTCAAGAGAAAAATGTTCAGATTACTCAACAATATTACGAATCTAATGTTTACTTTGCTCAACTTTGGCAGAAACTTTAGAGGCAAGTATACACAGATGGAAAACAGGATTGTCATGGACTCGTACTAATGAATAATTTCCGTTATCAAGAAACTGCACAATTTTATAGAAATTTCAGTTTTGTGTTTCCATTAGAATTTATTATGATTTAAAAATATGTCTATGTAATGCATAGTTTATAACCTTAATAGATTACTAAAAGCATTTGAGGATAGATGTTTTCTTTATAATATATCATATTAGATCATTTTTAGGTAAAAAAATATAGGTAATGATCATTGATAATGGTAATATATATAATGGTAATGATCAATATAATAATCATTGTCATGCCAAATTAATTTTGTTGTTGTCTACTCTCAAATGTCCCAGTTAATTAAACAATATTTCTTCTAACAAAAATTTAAGTAAAATCATTTCATATCCGCTTACAAATTATTAGAATTTTAAAGGTTCTTCGTTTTAGTTATTGGAAATATTTCAGGAAATCCACTGGAACAAGTAATGGGTGGTTCCTACTCCGTGTTTCTTGCGTCTTAGTTATGGAAAATATTAACACCTTTGGTAAAGACATGTTGACGAATTGTTTCAGTTTTGCTGTAAATGACAAAGTTATGAATCCTGCCATGTGAAATGTATTTTTTTTATATCTATCATTTATGATCAAAAACAAATAATTAATTGTATAATTTAATAGAAAATCCCATGTAACTACAATTTACCTAAGCAAGTGTAAGTCATGCGGAATAATAATATCATCCTCGACGTATACATCATGATACTATTTAGCAAAGTCTACCATAAGTTCAGCGATAACAACATTATGAATAATAATAATTGGCACTTCCTAGATCTGCCGGTTATCATGGATCAGCTTACATGTAAAAGTAAATGCCGTCACGTGTAAACATAAATATATATATTCGTTATATCCATTTTTTTTTTTTATATAGACAAGATTAGGTACCCGGCGGTGCCCAGATCGACCCCAAAAGATTAATTACACCATTCATGCGTTGAGAGCCCGGGTCGACCCGAGACTTGCGTAAACCTGTGTCAAGGTTTCGCGATCGGGGACCGACACTGAACCGAATATGACTGACTGTCCTTGCCCTATAATATATATTCCATAGGTGGCGTACAGTTAAGAAATGCTAGGAGCCCACGTTTCATATATGGAGATCATGTTCTTTGAGTGGACCATGCTTGCAATGGGGGGTTTTGTCTCTTCTCACTATTATTTTCCACCCCTTTTTGTCAAGCATGAATACGCCAACTTGACTTTTATCGCCATAAAACATCCAAAACGAGAATAAATTGTTGGTAATGTCCATAACTGGACAGCAAATATATATCTCCTCTCCCCTCAGCAAGTGAACGGGTACTTTGTTATATTATCTAACCTCGTCATCACATAAATTCAATTTTGATATCGGCCCGAATGGTAAAAAAGGCGACTCCCAATCAGAAAACTTGTTTTATATCATATATCTGAAGGCACGTAATACTAGCAAAAGTGATTATGTATGCAAAAGGCAATAATCAATCAAAGAAATCATTTTTTTAATTGCGCGGGTTCCAGATTGAAAGCCATCTCAATTCTGCTAAATGTAAAATAAAATGCATTTTGTCGATATTTCAGACCGTTAATGGCGCTGAATCGCATCTCATAATGGATACTTGGTAGGGCTAATAGCACTAAGTGGGCCCCAGAGCCCAAAATATGTGACACATTTAAAAGCTGTTGTTCCCCGCCCGGCAAATGGTATGGCGTCGCCCACGCTGTGTTATATATATATATATATATATATATATATATATATATATATATATATATATATATATATATATATATATATATATATATATATATATACATATATATATACATATATATATATACATATATATATACATATATATATATATATATATATATATATATATATATATATATATATATATATATATATATATATATACATATATATATATATATATATACATATATATATATATATATATATATATATATATATATATATATATACATATATATATATATATATATATATATATATATATATATATATATATATATATATATATATATATATATATATATATATATATATATATATATATATATATATATATATATATATATATATATATATATATATATATATATATATATATATATATATATATATATATATATATATATATATATATATATATATATATATATATATATATATATATATATATATAAATATATATATATATATATATATATATATATATATATATATATATATATATATATATATATATATATATATATCCTGTGGGAATCACCTACAGTGAATGATCTATTTATATTTTACTTACGAACTGTGGAATAACTCGCGCACCTAGACGAACAGTTGCATCATGTGATAGGAAACTTGCCCAAATGCCTCGTCCAACCCGAGAACAATTAGCTATGAACCGACCGCGCTGAAACCTCCGTGTTACGTTATCCGCCAGACTAGACACTTTGACCCCAAGTCTGGTATTGCTTACTCCACAAGAAATACCAGAAAGAAAATATACTGTTTCTCATGAAATAATATTTCCCATTGTAACTGCTAAAGAAAATGTTTATGAAAGAGAACGGCGTTTGTTTACACACTCGTATTATTATTTAATATATAGTTGATGTTAATACATACAGACAACAGGGAATATATATGTACACCGAGAAATAAACCAAGCTTTTCGGTATACTGTGAGTTTACTGTAGCCTTGGACTACAGGGCTAGAATAAAGTACTAAAGAATAATATTTGTACTCGTCTGTACAAGTTCAGTACTAAAGAATACTTGTGATTGGTCAGTAAGCTATTGTAGTGGTTTTAATAATCTTCCAGAGGTTGATAAGCATTAAACGCAAATGAAGAAAATTTTCCATTATTTTTTTATGTAATGGATTTATATACTATTATTTCTTGAAAAAATATATATATAAAATATAATATTTTTAAACATTTTTGACAACTCAAATTTCATCTATGCATGACCATTAATTATGTAAGCTTTACATTAGAGATTATTCAAGTTATGTTCATATTAACAATTCAATTTTTAATATCAATTCACATTAATGAAGAGATAAGATTGTTTATGTAGTCAGAATTTGAAATTACAAATACTTTCCTGAAGTAAAAATGTTTGTACTCTGCTTTTTTAAGCGCATCAAATTGTTTATTCCCAAGTATAATTGAATTTTGCTCGAACATATTAACTAATTAACCGACGATTCGGTCCGTCGTGGACCTTTATCTAGTAGTGATGATTGATTGTTGCCGCCGGAGGCGGCTAGTTTATTGTGCACCCAATACTCACCCAGTGAGCGGTAGCGCAAAAAGGATTACAGAGGGGTACAAAACGTTTTTATCAGACCTCAACGGAGATCATTACAGTCACAGTTACATCTGTTCTGCACTCCTTATAGTTATAATGAAAGCTAGTTACAGAGTCGATGTTTCGGTCTGCCCCTGAACCCTTATCATTTTTAATTTACTTTGTATGGCTGTGTTGGGCTATTTGTTTCACTCGTATTAATGTGACCTGGTTTCTGGACAGTATCAAAAGTCAAAATAAAGCGCAGTATTACAACTTAAAAGAAATCAGAGTTAAACATTAAAATAAATCACAGGTTCAGTGGGAAAGTAGGTTGACAATGTAGACTTTTTAGCGTTAAACTTTATTTTCTATAAATAATTTGAACTGGAAATATCAGCCAAAGAGAGAACGTGAGGGGAATGCCGACCTAGGAGGACCCAGCCAGGAAGGTCCCAGCCAGGAAGTACTCAGCCAGGAAGGACCCAGCCAGGAAGGACCCAGCCAGGAAGGACTCAGCCAAGAAGGACCCAGCCAGGAAGGACCCAGCCAGGAAGGACTCAGCCAAGAAGGACCCAGCCAGGCAGGACCCAGCCAGGAAGGTCCCAGCCAGGAAGTACTCAGCCAGGAAGGACCCAGCCAGGAAGGACCCAGCCAGGAAGGACCCAGCCAGGAAGGACCCAGCCAAGAAGGACCCAGCCAGGAAGGACCCAGCCAAGAAGGACCCAGCCAGGAAGGACCCCGCCAAGAAGGACCCAGCCAGGAAGGACCTGGCGAGGGTCTAGCACCATGGTGGAGTGCCTGCTGGGCTTACCGTCGCCGTCAGGAGCCCATCGCATTACCGTGCGAGGGAGGAATCGAAACTTAAAGATTTTTTTTTATTTGTGGCACTCTGTGTTTGTGTGTGTACTCACCTAATTGTGCTTGCGGGGGTTGAACTTCGGCTCTGTGGTTCTAGCTTTAAGCAATATGTGTGTGTAACTGGGAAAATGGTCACAACTCCTCAAGAACAACAGCAAAAACACCATTAATCTTCGAAGCTCTTAGAGCAAAATAACAATTCATCCTAACCATAACAAAAACCCATTTATAACTCGACAGCATTCACAACAACACAAATACATCATCCCAAATCACCTGACACACAAAACTTGTGCCCATTCGCAAACATTAAACTGTAAAAAAATACGGAGATCAGCAACAACTCCACAAAAGACTCTTATCACGACACTGCCGACAACCACGCAATTTACAAAACCATTAAATTGTCGTTTTTGAAAAGTTGTAGAATTGAGGAGGTAAAAGTTTGTTGGCAACTTCCTTAATTCTTAATTGATGAAGGCCATACTTCACTACCTGGCCGGCTCATCTAAGCGAAAAGGACCCGGAGATGAAAATTTAATATATATGCCCGAGAATTTTATGATAAATTATCCTTAGTAAAAAGATGAGGAGCAAAATATCTCTTTGAAGCTGACGCTCCACATGTCTCTTGTGAAGAGCGTTAACATGGGACACAGAGACTAACATAATCTCTACGCGTCTCCTGTGAAGCTGACACAATGTGTCTCGTATCAGAGGGAGGACTCATCCAAATATATATTAAGCCAGCAACTCCTGCAGGTGTGCTGACATTAGCCGGTAGCACCCACCACCACCCCTCATACCCACTGTTTTGACTGCTCCATGTCATCCTTTATTACGTTGTATGTGCCTCTTTCGTTTCTTCCATTCCTTCCACTTCTTGTTACCACTCCTGCTCCTGTCTTCTTGCCTCCATGTCTATGTCTAATGTCTCCTTGTCTCCTGCTACTGCCTCCTGCTACTGCTTCCCCAAGAGGGAGCTACGCGACATGCACTCGACTGTCTCCTGAGACGAGCCGTCCGTGCTGGGTTGAATTTTGCATATGCAATGCTGGTTATCTGGTCCACGGTCGTCACCTGCTTCGTCACCCACCACCACCCACTTCTACCCACCACCACCCACTTCTACCCACCATCATCCACCAGTTCCCAGATGTTATGGAGCCTCTTCTCGTTCAGTATACCACTTAGGTCTGACTGAGGTTTACCTTCCATGTAGACCTCTCATAGACATATACATTGGTCGTATCAGGCTAGCGATAAGATGGTTCAGGTAATTTATATATCTTTATTTGTAATTCCCTTTGTTAACGTATGTTCAAGTAATATGGCAGCTGATAGAACATTCTAGAATGCTTCATCATGTTATCACGATTGACTCATCTAATCAGAGAAAAATAACAGCATTACAGCATTTGATTAACTGTGATTATATGCATATAGATGCTAATCATATCAAAAGGGGAAGAGGCTATTTATCACTGCAGATGCGCTAAGCTTGATTCTGATGGGCCAAGAGTGGATAGTGTCACTAGGATGCTACAAGATCAAATTACATCAAGAGAAAACTGTCCAATCACGAGAGAGGAAGGAACTGGAAATGTGTCATTTTCCCCCACAGTGAAGGTGATTGAAAGTGTGAGAACTCTTCTAAAATACAAAAAGAAATTCCTCACCAACCGCAAATCTGTCGATGTGGCACTCTGGCGGCCATTTATATTGTCTCGGTCCGTCTGCAAGAACATGATAAACTGCCACTCTCGGACCGGGAGAGAACATCTTTTAGTAAGCGTATTTTTTGGAGGATTCATGGACTCGTATATCACCCAAAGGTCACAAGACCTTTGTAGTTAAATTGTGTTTAAAAATCTCAGTTTTCTTACTCCGGAGTCTAGCAGTAACATAAAGTCATTGGGGAGACGTTCTTGCCTCCTCCTGACCTTTATTCTTGGAATAATGTCATAAGTTCACCTTTTACTTGTGTTTTTCTTTATGTTTTATATAATTAAACAATTACGCTTTACTAAGACGTCATCTATTATTGATCTATGTTTATTTTCTTATGGTGGAGTTGTGAGTCATTGTATATTATTGTGTCTGTATTAAGTGACCAGTGCCAAAGTGGTGACCAGTGCCAGTCACAAGTGACCAGTGCCAAAGTGGTGACCAGTGCCAGTCACAAGTGACCAGTGCCAAAGTGGTGACCAGTGCCAGTCACAAGTAACCAGTGCCAGTTACTAGTGACCAGTGTCAAAGTGCTACTTACCAGTAATCAGACTTGCATTGTGTGTCAAAATTCGTCAGTATCCCCTACGTGTGTACTGTCCCACGTGTACTCACCTAGTTGTGTTTGCGGGGGTTGAGCTCTGGCTCTTTCGGCCCGCCTATCAACTGTCAATCAACTGTTTTACTAACTACTTTTTTTTTATCCACACCACACCACACACACACACACCAGGAAGCAGCCCGTGACAGCTGACTAACTCCCAGGTACCTATTTACTGCTAGGTAACAGGGGCATTCAGGGTGAAAGAAACTTTGCTCATTTGTCTCTGCCTGGTACGGGAATCGAACCCGCGCCACAGAATTACGAGTCCTGCGCGCTATCCACCAGGCTACCAGGCCCTTCCCCCGGTTGTGTGTGTGTGTGTGTGTGTGTGTGTGTGTGTGTGTGTGTGTGTGTGTGTGTGTGTGTGTGTGTGTGTGTGTGTGTGTGTGTGTGTGTGTGTGTGTGTGTGTGTGTGTGTGTGTGTGTGTGTGTGTGTGTGTGTGTGTGTGTGTATGTGTGTGTGTGTGTGTTTTCTTGCTCGTATCCGCCATCTAACCAAAACAATTCGTGGCTTTCAATCCTCAATATTTTCTACCCTGTCAGCTGGTTAGAGATATGTTCCACCACTCGTTTTTTTCCCCGGTCTCGCTCTTTTTTATTAAACTTCCCGTGATTGATAAATCTGAAAGATATTCGCACCCGCACATATGAATTCGTGAACACAAAAGCCGTCACACATGGAGATACATAAACACCTTTGAACATGGCATATTTTAGTTACATGTCATTCGCCTACTTTATAACGTGGGTTTTAACAGCGATCCGCTGTAATCATCGAGAGATCGTCATTTAGACAGATTAGAAAAACACCTGGTGGCTCCTTTGGAACATAAACCTTATCTAACAGTATACAATCCTAACATTCCTCAACCTAGCCTAACTCAATTTACATGCAACGTATTCTAACATACCTAACTCTAACCTACACGTAACCTAACCTAATTTACTAGTAGCCTAACATACAGCTATAGGCTAACATTGCATGAGAGGAGAGGCTCTATTAAAGAATCTAGGAAGGACGCGAGCAGCTGTGCTATTGGACATTAGGATTTGTATTCCGTGGGAGACTGAAATTAATATAGCTGATCCCTTTTAACGTTTAATTTTTTTTATAGTTGAGAAAAATACTCCCGTGCGTTCAATTCCACACATATAGCCTCACATCAGACACACACACATGTACATGTGCACATGAGCACATGCAAACACACTCGTTTATACAATCACACACACAGAGAAGCGTGAACACCCTTGCATGCATCTGCCTGACTGATTCTTTGATGTTTCTGACACCACAGTTAAAAATCCTACCAAGTTGGGTTTTTCGCCTGTTGGTAACACGGCATGACCTTGACACTTGGTGTCTCTTGACACGTCATGCCTTGTCACAAGGTGTCCCTTGACACGTCATGCCCTGTCACAAGGTGTCCCTTGACACGTCATGCGCTGTCACATGGTGCCCCATGACACGGCATCTCATTCGCACCGCAGTGACGCTTAATTAACATGGTTTCTTTTTCAAGCCTCCACCACATCACTCCCTAATGCATTCCATTTGTTAACTATTCTGACTGAAACAAATCATTCTAATATCTCTGTAACTCATTTGAGCACTACGTTTCCACCTGTGTTCACTTGTTCATGTTCTACCCGTGTAAGAATGTGTGAGTACGGGTCGCTGGCAACAAACACACGCGCGTGTGTGTCTGTGTGCACGCGCGCGTGAGGGGCTAGAGCGTCACCGGTGACCGATGCAGGCATTTGAAGCTATTGATGACAGTTCTTGCTGGCGAGAGGCAGTGGATCCAATATCGTGCTGGGGAGCCAAAGGAAGTGGAGTGCCACTTTACGGGTCGTGGTGAATATGTATGACTGCTGTGAGGGAGGCCAGGCGCTCTCCAGGCCCCCCCCCCCCCCCCGGCACCTGCTGGCCAGGGGTTGACTGGGGCAGGGGAGTATTATGCTGGCCAGGGGTGACTCACTCACTGGGGCAGGGGAGTATTATGCTGACCAGGGGTGACTGGGGCAGGGGAGTATTATGCTGGCCAGGGGTGACTCGCTCTCTGGGGCAGGGGAGTATTATGCTGGCCAGGGGTGACTCACTCACTGGGGCAGGGGAGTATTATGCTGGCCAGGGGTGACTCACTCACTGGGGCAGGGGAGTATTATGCTGACCAGGGGTGACTGGGACAGGGGAGTATTATGCTGGCCAAGGGTGACTGGCTCACTGGGGCAGGGGAGTATTATGCTGGCCAGGGGTGACTCGCTCTCTGGGGCAGGGGAGTATTATGCTGACCAGGGGTGACTGGGGCAGGGGAGTATTATGCTGGCCAGGGGTGACTAACTCACTGGGGCAGGGGAGTATTATGCTGGCCAGGGGTGACTCACTCACTGGGGCAGGGGAGTATTATGCTGGACAGGGGTGACTAACTCACTGGGGCAGGGGAGTATTATGCTGGCCAGGGGTGACTGGGGCAGGGGAGTATTATGCTGGCCAAGGGTGACTGGCTCACTGTGGCAGGGGAGTAATTAGGTGGCTGGCAGTCACTGGTTCCTGGAGCATTAATATCTCCCGAAGGTCTTGTACCCCGCCACACTTGCTCCTAAAACGGAGAATGGAAGTTAATTTCACTTTGTTTATCTCTCGCTCTGTGTACTATTACATTCTTCCAACA